GAGAAATGTGATATGCATTTTATTTAAGCTGTAGAATGGTAAGCCTATACAGTACATAGGCTATTTAAAAACAAAAGTTGAAAAAAATCTTGATTAAAACAACTGAGCAACATAAACCATTTAGTAACGTTAAGGAAATTACAGTAGTTTCTACACATGCTTCACTCAAAAAAAAGTAAAATCCTTGATCTTAATTTAAATGACACAAAACTGTCTCTCCTTCTCATCTATTATGGCTTACCATTCATTCATTCATTTTAACAGAGATGGACCCATTTCTTTGCATGGGACGAATACAATGAGCCGAATAGGTTGTCGTCCAGGGTGGACTTACTCGCAACTGAAACCGACCATACGTGTAATGAAAAAAGACATTAAATAGTCTAATGCTAGTTATGGTTTAAAAACTGGAAGAATCATAATAAAGATTTTCGAACTGGAAGATTTTCGAACTGGAAGATTTTCGAACTGGAACTGGAACTGGAAGATTTTCGAACAAGAATATTGATCATTTATTTTAAAACTTATATATTTTGTAAATAGGATGTTAATACGCAATATACGATTTTCATTTAATAATTGATGCAAATTTTTAATAAATTTATGTGGCTAATTTTTAATCGAAAAAATTAAGCCAATACTTAAATAGTTAATATTTTTAATGCTTAATTTAACACGTTTATAGCAAGTTTAAATGTATTCATAGCCTAATATAAATTGATATCTTATTGAAATACAAGAGATAAATCTAGTTTGTTATTTTTAAAAATTATTTTATCATGTTTAAATCTCCTACAAAATAACAAATCTGTATGAATTGCGTACTTGGACTTACTATTTTTAATAGCTACTTGGTAAAAATATATATTTTTCATTTGTAACTTATACAAGTTATATATCATAAGAGATAACCACTAAAAACTCTATGTAAAATTTTACTATATTTTGTTTCATATTCGATCCATTTACGAACTTAGGAAAGTTTTAATGCAAGATTATGAATCTGCATTGTTTAAAAGATCCTTGTAGGCAAATGTTTTTTTTTTTACCTTACAAAAGCTAAATGTTTGTAAATAAATAATTTCATCGATCGACTTTATAAAATTCGTAATGAATTTAATTTGTACTATGCCTTCGATGTACTACTACAATTATAGATATTTAAATGATAAAAATCAGAACAAAATAATATGTTTCTATTGTATAGGCCTGTGTATCATTTATCTTTATTGATATATATATATATATATTAATTTTAAATTCATATTTACTGTTCGGTGAAAGTTTACAGGCCTATATTCTTAGAATTAATTTTAATGCATTCTAAATATCTAGCAAATCAAATATAAATAGTCTACATTTTATTGATTAGCTCTACATAAATTTTTACTAATATTTCTAGATTTCAACGCAGCTTCGATTTTCTTTTATGTAGTTTTATTTACTTTTAACTTGATGGATTTGTGGTAAGAAGACAGTTTTCTGTTTTAAAATGTTTTTACTTTGGCAGTTAATGGATTTTTCTTAGCATCTTAGATTTTTGCATTTCTTTAATGTTTTGTTTTCAAATACTTTATGTTAGATTTATTCCAACCACGATAATGTAAAAGTCAATATTCAGTTTACCACATAATTTATTTAAATATTGGTAAAATAAGGCTCTTTTTAAAGCATAAAGTATATAGGAATTTTATATTAAAAGTATTTACAGTTTGCATTATATTATCTACTGAAAATTACGATTTTGGTCTAAATGTTTTGAGATATTCTCTTCATAAAAATTAGATTCTTATACGTATATTAACTTATGTAATATAATTGATACGAATATCCACCAGCAAAATATTTTAAAAAACAAATATTAATTAATTGTTTTACTTCTATTTAATTCTGTGTGAAAGAACAAAAATTAAATCAAATGGAGAAAAACTAAACTTAGTATTAATTATTTTTAAGAGACTCTTATTACAGATTAATTCAGACTTCACTCCAAATTTTACTAATTTTTATAATTAGTAGGCTCATATCACAAAAACTTAAAATCTGATATTAGTAGGCCTATGTAATTAATTTCTATGTCATTTTAAATTAGTTTTTTTCAGGTGTAGCATTATAATTTTAAACTTTATAAGGTTTATAAGGCATAAATATTAGTAAAAAATCTTACAAACAACAAAATTCTATAGTTTTATTTAAGTAATAGCCTATTACTATAAGTTATTATTTAAATAAATCTATAAAATTTTATTTGATGTAAGTTTGATGATAGATCAAATTTCACTGAATTTATAAAGTTATGATGAAAATTAATAACTATTATTCATCTAAAATAATTTTTTTTTATACAAAATAAATCTATACAAGTTTGGAATCTGTTCTCATTTGTTTTGCCTCATTCTATAAAGTTTTTATATTTTCATATTTAATGAAAACAATTTATTTTAACTTATATTTTTTAAATAAGGGATCAATTTCAAGTAATAAATTGTATTTTTACAAATTATAAGTTAGCATAATTTGCTTCTATTCTGTTTGCAATCCTGTCTGTTCTGATTACCTTCAATCAGAGAATTTATTTTACGAATTAGAAGTGAGCAAGTCTTCATAACTCTCTTTATAATTATTTTTGAATCGATTATTATAAAGATTTTTAGATGTAAACTTAAATTTTACTTCTAATGAATTTTATATTTTGAAAATTTTACTCAAATAACTCCTCACTAGTCAAATACATGCTATATATAAAATAAACACATCAATTAATAATCTAATCTTGATGATTTTTTTTTATTAAAACAAAGATTAAGATGAGAATAAGATGGAATTATTTTAATATGAGGAGGCTATCATCAAAATAGCTCATTATAAGTAAGCTATAGCCTATATTTAATTCTCTTTATTATTATTATGGTAATATAAATCACGATTAATAAATTATACATGAGAAAAGTCATTTGAATGATTGACATGTTTAGACTATATTATTATAAACTTAGATTTATTTGCATGTTTTAAATTATAAACTTAAATGTATGCAAATTTTATTTTATCGAATGATACTTAATCCTACTACAGATTATAATTGCTTTTATAAATTGATAAAAATAATTCTTATATTACTTTCAATTACGAATAAATTACATTAACTTTACCTGTAAAAGTTGAAATATTAAAAAAAAAAATGATTTAAAAATAAGATTAAAGTGTAAAGAAACGTAAAAGTATACTTTTCTAATTTCAATGTTTTAGGCCTGGTTATAAATTCATTTGAAACGAAATTTTTACTGACAAATTTAAAATTTATTTTATGAAACTGGTATAATGGCGAAATTATTCAAATTATTTAGTTTTCAACTATTAAAAGTAAATTATAAATTTATTCTTAATTTGTTTTACAATATTTTTTCAATTGTTATTTAAAGGAACATTCTTCATTTTCAAATAACTTAAAATTTAGTTTTTGATAAAGTTTTGCTAAATACAATTTTTATTCTTAACAATAATCGCATTTAAAATAATTTTATGTTTATATTAGGATTATTATAAAATTTACAAATTAGTCAAATGTAATAGTGTAGTCTCTTTATGCATATTTATTATAAACGTGCAATAAAAAAGAATTACGGTTAAATCGAATGTTAAACTTCTATTAGCAATGTCAAAATTTCTGGTTCTTCTCCAGCTCGCACGGATTTCTTCTACATAAATTAGAAATATAGAAATAAAATTTATATTTTGTGAAACTTTAAATATAAAGTAACAGCTTCTACTTCAATAAATTCACCATCAACGCATCAAATTTAATTATTAATCAAAATCAATTTAAAAAAAAAGAAAAAAAAAGTAATCTTTCATTTTGGAGCGAACCTTTTTCTTCCATGACGCATCGTTCGTTGTATAACGCATATTCTACAACCAATCAAATCGAATGGTTAGTCTACAAGGCTGCCCTTTCCCAGCACAATAGGGCAAGAGAGAAAGAAAAAAACCACGGTACATTTCCTGGACGATTGCCTCCTTCAAATCGTACAGATAGACAAGGCAGGTGTGGTGGACCGCAAATAGAGCCCACCTGTAGGGCATCTGTTCTCGGTCCTTATTGTAGCTGTTAACTATGCCGAATACTACGTGAGAAATAACTAAAGCACATGGAATTTGAAATTGAAAGTTTTACCACCTTTTCTTACACTTTGCGTTTCGCTTATTCACTGATTATTAAAATAAACTTTAAGAAAAAAAAATTAAAATTTGTATGAAATATACGAAAAAAAATTATAATTTCGTTATTGATTTATCAACATAATTATTTTATTCAAAATGATTGTTTCCAGTTGTTTTCTTTACTTTTGATTTTAAACAAAATTTAAGTTGACAAAAATTTTAGTGTGAAATATGAAAATAAAATTTTAAAATACAGATTTCACTAAAATTATACCATTTTTTACATCTTACAGGAAAATAATAATAATAATAATAATAATAATATAACTCAATTATTATTGACTCGTGAGATATATTTAGTAATATTGCATTATCTTTCAACATTATTATTGAAAACTAATAGAAAATAGTATAAGAGACATAATAACAATTTTAAAATCATAGCTATATTTTTAATTATTTATTAAAAAATTAAAATTTTCTTTAAAATCTCATAATTTTAAGCAGTCTGTAAAGGTTTTTCAGCGACACTTTTTAAACAAACTAATCTCTGATAATCTTCTCGCATTACAATAATCCTTGGGATTACTGTTGTAATGTCTACAATAGACTCAGTTTCTATTGACCCTCTAACTCGACTAGAGTCGAAAGAAAGAAGTATTGACTTTTCTATATGTTTTCAAATATACAAAAATATTTCGTGATTGGATCTTACTCATATAGGCCCTATGATTTTAAAATTATTTAATTATAAAATTTTTTATTAGTAATATGAAAAGCACATACAAATTAAAGGAATTATTTATTTTAGTTAAATAAACCATGTTTTTCTCTTTCAGATTTGGAAATTCGTTTTAAAACTTACAAGTAGATCTATATATCATGCGACATGCTGTAGAAATTAGCGATGATAATTAAATTTAATGAAAACCAATTGAAGGGATAATATTTTAATTCTACGAAAACCATCATGATGACGGCAGCCTCGTGTCGTCCTTCAACATCTCCGAACAATAGCTGTGATGATGAAAAAAAGATCGGCGACGTCACCCCATCCGTGCAGTCATCACCGAGTTCCAAAGCAGAGGCAAAAACTCTGGCCTTCTCCATAGCCAAGATAATGGAACCCGGTCCAAAGAAGCAAACAAATCAGCAGCCCTGTCTGGATTCCGTACTCCTAGATTTCAAGAAAAAGATGAAGAATATTAACTTAATGAATCCTTTAGGTAATATGAACAGTATGATGAATAACGGGGTTGTGTCGGGGGTACATTCTTACGGTGACGTACCCGATATGCATCAATCAACATCGTTTGTTGATTCTGTTTATGAGGCAACGTTTAAACGATTAGTCGATGGAACGGCTCTAAGATACCATCTTTCATCCTATGGAACAGAAGCACTTTCTCGATTATGGCAAAACAGATCGCATGAACTATTGAGACAGTACAGTTTACTTTATACTCTGTGTCCCTCTCAAGGAATGATAGGTCAAGTGCCTGAACCTCCTCGAAATCGTGATAATTGCTATTGGAGAGAACTACCAGTCTTTACAAGACCTTCCGAACCTTCATACGGAGGTAAAGTAGTTCGACCTCAGCCGTTAATTCCTTCTGCAGGATCTTCGAGTACTATACACCAGTCAGAACATAGAACAGTTACCGATAGGGCACCTAATACAAGTTCTACAGCCCTCGAAGAAAGAAACAAGAATTCAAATAATGGAGATTACCAGCAACAATCAAACCAGTCTATTAGATCGAAAAGATCGAACAACAAACATAAAACTTTTACTTGTCCCGAATGTGGAAAAGTGTTTAATGCTCATTATAATCTGACAAGGCATATGCCCGTTCACACTGGTGCTCGACCGTTTGTTTGTAAAGTTTGCGGGAAAGGGTTCAGACAGGCAAGCACACTCTGTAGACACAAAATTATTCATACTCAAGAGAAACCCCATAAATGCCAAACGTGTGGCAAGGCATTTAATCGGAGCTCCACTCTCAACACTCACATCAGAATTCACGCAGGTTACAAGCCTTGGGTATGCGAATATTGTGGGAAAGGATTTCATCAAAAGGGAAATTATAAAAATCACAAATTGACTCATAGCGGGGAGAAAGCTTACAAATGTTCGGTGTGCAATAAAGCTTTTCATCAAGTATATAATCTAACCTTCCACATGCACACACACAATGATAAAAAACCCTACACGTGTAAGGTATGCGGCAAAGGATTTTGTAGAAATTTCGACTTAAAAAAACACATGAGGAAATTGCACGAATCTAATCAACAATCTCAAAATGGAGTGACTTCCACTATGTCAAATTCGACTCATTCGAATCCATCTGTAAATGTGAGTCTCGTAAATCCATTTTTCGTAACTCCGAGCACTAGTAATTATTTGGAACCTCTTTCAGGAATTATATAAATTTGTCCACCTCTCTAATCAGTTTGCAATATAAAAATTATAGTAGTATGGATTCACGATGTTCTCTAAATTTATTACGCATTTAGTTAGATTATCTTTAATAGGAATTTAAAAATCTGTCTATGAATTTTATAATATATTAATATTCTGAAGTTAAAAATAATAAATAATAATTTTAAAATATTAATAAAGTTTAAAATTTATTTTTTATTGCAGAAATAGCATTAAATTGCTTACTGTATTTATCAAAAATATCGTTAAAATAATTCGCAAATCAGAATGATTTACATTCAGGCCTGACTAAAGTCTGTTTAGGCCTATGTGTACGAGTATTACTTAGGTATATATATATAAAGATTTTATTATGTGAAATGTTTAATAAGAAACCTTCAGAATGAAATCAATTTTTCATACGTTTCTGTTTGCTTTGACAGATTATCTATTGAGTAATTCATCAACTCAGAAAATTACTGCGATTATGAATTATCTGATGAATATTTCTTTATGAATCTTCCAAATTATCTAGTCACTTTAATTTAGTGAGTTAAGGTCTATTTATAATTAACCATCTACCATTATCTGAGTAATTAGTAATTATGCCTTATAAATAAATTTAATATTGACTTGATTATATAAAATTGTTAACGGGAGGAATTTAATTAAATATTAGTCTATTATTTTTTTTTTGTTACACAAATTTTATTTAATCATTTAAATAAGTTAACTGTTTTATAAAAGTCCAAATTTGGGTTTTAAATGATGACATGAATTTAAGTTGATATTGGCATTTAATAATAAGAATAAAGTCATCATATTTAAACACAGTATTTTAGTTCTCTCTTTTTTCTCATACAAGAATAGTTTTTAATTGAAATAAATATTTTCAAAAGTTGTTAAACTTATAACTGTCGAAACTTAAAGTAAAAATTGTGATATAAGATTCAAATACCTTCCTAGAATATTATTATTTTAACATTTTATGGAATATAAGCTGTTAGAGATCTATAATATAAGATCTTTGCAAAAGAAAAAAAACTGTAGAGGTGACAAATAAACGCAACGAAACGCAACGCAAAGCTAATCGGAGATATTTGAGGGATATTCCCTTCTGTAAAATTGTAGTCATATTATTATAAATGATATAAAAAAAATATATAGATTATATATAGCTATGTAAATATTATATGTACTGTATGTATGTACGTAATCAATCACATGTAGATGCGAATCACGTGTTTATGATGTATATTTTCAGGCGAAAAAATAAATACATTGGCACTGGAATAAATGTCTTCATTTTCCATTCATGTGAAAAAAAACCTATCTCGTCCTACGTGTTATGTTTCTATTATATTTATTATACATACAGAAATAATAATAATAATATCGAAAATATATTGGTAAATTGTAAATTTATTTGAATCATTTCACATTTAAAATAATGTAACTTTTAAATTGGCATTATAGTATTTTATTCATGTAGACTTATTATCTATAAACTAAACATATTTGCGAAATACATTTTGAATATTTATGAATACATTTATTCATAAATATTTTGAATAAATATTTATGAATAATCTGATAATTTATTTTTAAAAAACTAATTCTTAGAGTGTTTTATCGTCTAAGTCTATGAAACCACGGCTTAAGACACAGATTTTTGCAAATAATCAGCAATTTTTTTAGGGAAAATAAATCGCGAAAGCGGGAAGAAAGAGACCAGAAAATATACATCTAGTCTATGGTTCACATAAATTAAAATATCTTTGAACATATTTTTGAAATTTGTATACTTTTCTCAACCTTTTAAATATGTAAAGCTGATGAATTAAATTATTAAATGATTAAGAAAAGTTCATACCTATTAATTAGGAAACTCTACTTAAAATAAAAATAAGAATAAATTTTTTAAAGTTAAAACCTCATTAAAATTACCTTTAAAATTTTATTGAAAGAGAGTATTTTTTTTAAAAATGAAATAAGTTTGAAAATTTTCCACTCTTATAAAAATAATTTTATGGATTAATTCATTAAAAATAAAGATTTAACTATTAAAACAATTAAATTAAATTAATTTTTTTAAAAGTATAACTTATTAATAAATATTAATTATTTTTATTCCAAAAATATGCGAAATCAAATTCAAAAAATAAAATAATTCTGAAATCTTGAAATATTTACAATATTTTTTTAGCTTTTTATTCTAAAAAAAAAATTCAATTCAATTTATACCACTTTAAAGCAAGGATACAGTTAGAGAGATAAGGCATTAACAATAGGATATGTTTAAAAGCTGTTTAAAATTACTAGATTATAGTAATATATATATATATATATCTTCCTATGCGTAACTTTAGTCGGTTCTCAATATTTTTCGATTGGATCAAGAATGTTTCATTGTATAACAGTTTTACGCTGCAATTCATTTATATTTCATTAAATGTGCAGGATAAAGTACTTCAGATTCTAATTAAAAAAAAAAAAAAGAAACTAGAGAGATAAGAGAGAGCGAGGAAGATAAAATAAAATGCAATTTAGAAGAAATGTCAAGAGATTGGAATGATTGTACTTCTAGCCTCTCGTAAAAGAAATAATTACTAAAATTGAAAATTTGTCTTACTAAAAAGAGGTTGTTCAGAAAGAGCATCAATCTTTCCCATTGATTTACCTTCTCAATTATCTACATCTTCATATCTCAACACAACTACAAATTTTAAATTCAAAAATTCTTTACAATTTATTTTTAAAACTTTAAAAAAAAAAAAAAAAAACATTAAACGGAAAAGAATGCAATATCTTATAATTAATTCAAAGATTTTTAAAAAGAGAACATTTCATAAGCATTATAAAATACAAAATTTTATCAGAATACGTATATAAAATATCTCATTCTTTACGCGTTGTCAAATTTTGATTTTAGAAATAATAAAGACAAAGAAATTTAATATATTTAACTTTCTAAAGTAAATATATGCATGCAAGTTTATATTGTTTTGCAATATATTTATATAGGTTTAATATATCAATACAAAATATGGATTAAGCTATTGCAAATACTAAAAGAAAAAAAAGTAGATTATTATAAATATAGATTTAAGAAAAGATGACTATTAATTTCTCATTTTTGGTCCTTTCCTCCCTGTGAGCACTAGGAGGGCCTTTTCTCCATACCAATTGTGGGTTCGGTTAGGCCTACAATGGGGCCGGCTGTGGGACGAGGTCCGACATATACGGGACAGACCGCTCATGAAAAATTCCCGGAGTTGTTGGCCCGGATTCGATTCAGGGTCTCACAGAGCGGTAGGCTGTCGCCTTAACCGATTCGCCTATCAGATGGTATTATTGCTAACAGTTTAACAGTAACAATAAAATATATTTTATTGCTTTTATAATTCAGTTATGAATGTAATGTGTCTAACTTATATTTCTAATAACTTTTGAATACATAATTTGAAACAATTTCATACAGAATTTAATAGAAATGGTATACAAACACACTCAATCACACCCACATACACATACTTAACTAAAAAAAATTTATTATTATTATTATTTTTTTATTTATCCAGTTAAAATAAGATCCTGGAAGATAAAATAAATTTATAAATTAAATACAGTTATCTTATTTAGTATAAGAACAGACAGTAATTTTCGAAATGAATTACTATGATTATAAAAAAGTAAATAGCTTGAAAAAATTTGTAAACAATTCATCCGGCGGTCATGATTAAAGATTATAACAACAGTAAAACTGATTTAACGGACTAATTCGAACGAGAGAGAACTTTAAAGCCGAAAGTCCATTTTATAATAAAGTAGATTTGCGAATGCATGTCTAAAAAAGTTGACAAATTGGTTAGTTTATCTGTTTTTACTTATATACATACATTTGTGTAATTAAAATTTCACAGGAAAGTCTATATGTATTCTTGCTTATATACTCGTTGTTCTGAGACTGTAGTAAACAAATATTAATACATGATCTAAATCGAAATAAACAAACGAACATTTTTTTTTGGAAAATACACTTTAATTATATTTAATTAAGAGTGGCGACTCTTGTATTAAAAACCTTATTAATTTAATTACATATAAAAAAATGTTTTCAAATTAACATGGCGTTAATTTTCACGTATGTCTTACTAATGGAAATTTTGTCCGTTAAATCGAGATTTTACAGTATTATTATTATTAATATAAGGATATCTGAATCCAAGATTTACAGATTGGATAGAATTTTTTACATAAGCGCAGTTAACAATTGACTACAGCCTAAATGTTTATTGCTATTGATTTGCCCTTTAATTAAATCGACAGCAAGTGTAAAAGGAGGACTTATAAAAATATGATTCGACCTCGAATTATCATTAAAAAAATATGAGGTTCTAATCGGATCCGAATCACTCTCAATACTAACATTCGGTCACTGAATAAATACAGTATTAAATATTGATTTTCGTAATGTGTGAAGCTTATGCACCTATCATTGTTAAAAAAGATTTATTAAATTATTTTACGATTATCAAAATTAATATACTTCAAAATTTTCTATTTATTTTTTATATTAATTACATTTTTTAAGAAAATAAACTAAAATAATATTTTAAAAAAAAGTATTGTTTGCTTCTAAACTACAAGTAATGTTTTTTAAAAAAAAATTTGACGTTGGCATATAGGCTTGCTGTTAGACTATTAAGTTATTACAGTTGTTAGGTAACGAATATTTCATGTTTATAATTCGACTTAAAAAAGCATATGTCTAACAATGATTCTTCTACATATGAATAATTAGACCTGCAGATTCTACGTCGAATGCAGTGTATGGTTTTCCCGTCTGATGATACTTGACCGGTTATGGGCATTCTGGACGTCCCCTTCCCACTTCCCGCAGATATATGCACTTGTAATTCAATGAAGAAAAAGTACATGCTCGCCTCTTACATTGTACAACCTTCCAGAAAATGGACATACAATAGCAACAAGTAATCACATTTGTTCTGTTATCGTCCGCACTCGGTCAACACGTGCGGGCCAGATGGTCACCGCGGAGCCAAAGTGTTCCCGAACCTCTTCACATCCAATACGCATTATTTCCATTAGAAGGTCTATACTTCCGATTCGCCA